AATTCATGCAAATCTGGAATAAACAATTTCTGCCAAGTACGTTCAATAATTATTATTATTATTATAGTTATTATTATTCTCATATTTGCACCAGTTGATATATACCAATGAAATAAATTATGGAAATTTACAGTCTTAAATAACATTATAGATTAATAACAAAAAAATATGTGGTCAGCAATATCAAACATTTAATATTGATGTCTCAGCACATATAATTAATCAACAGTCCTGCAATCAATAATCTAAACTTTTACTATAATATAACATGTTACATTGGAGTAGAACAGCAATACATGTAGCTTTTGCCAATGCTTCATGTTCTTTCACTTGTTACCAAAATAAGTATTGGCAAAAGCCATATCATACATGTTGAATAGGGTCTTAGTATTGGGCAACTGCCTKTTGGCAGATGCCCTGGGTAGAYGCAGACAGTTTGTGCACGTATTGGCTGTTGGGAGAAATGATTCCTGCACCTCATGGAAACATAGAGAGGGTGCCATGTTAAACYCAAGAGGTGGTTCTTCATCAGTCCSYGTAGTAAACTCCAAAATACTTCCCAAATTTAATCCAGCTCTTCGACCACCTACAGTATATAAAGCAATTAGAGAATCCAAATATTGTATGTACTAACAATAAATACATGAAATGAAATGCTTATTTTGATTAGATGCAAAATCTGTATCTCCTTTATTCTCATTGAGAGAGTAGTCAATAGAGTAGAGCTACAAGAYATTTCTAGTCAAAGTGTTTCCCCCCTTAAAACAATGACTAAAAAGCATCTTGCAAAACTGTTATCTTAAAGCATCATTCCTTCTTTAATCTTTTGGCTTACTTGCAACTTCTCTGAGATACTTTTGAAAATCTCYATACACTGCAGCTTCTAATTTCCTGCAGTTAGAACCCTGTTCACTAAAACTGGCTTTCAGCAAGGTATTGATAGTTTTAATCGTTAATCTTTTTGATGGGGCATTCTTGAATAGTTCTTGAAAGCTTTGCATTTGCACACCAAGCTGAAAGATAGTTGCATTTACTTTATTAAATTGGCCTATAGTATCAAATTAAGCATACATTAATTAAGTCTTGACAATAATAAAAACATGTAACTGGCCTGCATGTGCAGACAGGGTGTGAGTTGTGTATATTTTTGCTTATGTTGATGCTTGTGGAAACAGTTGCATATT